AAATGAAAACGCAAAGAAGGATCATTCTGATCATATGAAAGAGATACATTGATTAAAGAGACTGTCCATGGCAGAGTATCTCGAGATTTCATTCCTTAGGACTAGATGGTCACAAATAAATGCTCCGATTGAATATTTATGGGTCTATTATTAAGTCTGTAAGTTTTGACTCAGTAAGTCTAGATGATCGCAGTGCAATGGGCAAAGTCGATATTTATCGATCTTTTATTAGGTCTGATATAATGATGGTGTTTAAACTGTTAAAAACAAGGATGGTCAGGAACTTTAAATAATAAGTGGGCATATTCTGGGCTGTTGACAATGCTTAGTTTTTATCACGTTCTTGAGAGTAGGGTGCGTTAGGAGACCATCTAGCAGTTGTTTAGACAAGAAAATCATTACGAGTTAATCTCGCGGATGAAGATTGATGTTCGTGTCGAGCTTCATATCCAATGTAAGCTAATAACTGCACAACCCCCCTCCAATAAAATAACGTGGAGAACAAATCAACACACCGTCGTGTATATCAGAAACTACATAACCCTTTCAACCTCAGGGTGGACTCTGATAGGATATTCTGATCTTGAACATGCAGGAATGGGCTAATAGTGTAATAAACGATTTTGAAACGTTTCATATTGAACGATGAAATATGGAAAACAGGCATATCTCTTTCTACTGTAAAAAAATGGGTGCTAAAAAGCGTACTGTAAAAAATAGAACAAAAATGCTACTTTGACATAACAGGTATAAAGCGACATGATATGAATGATTCTCTCAGGAATACAGGACCGATACGTGCAAGGAGTGTTAGATTATAGAATATTTGGTATCAAACTTCAATGATACAAAACTTGTGTGTGTAAATGGCGATATGCGAAGTCATGCACTCAGTAATACCTCTCCGACACTGGTAGTTACGTTCTGTTCAAACACAAGCACATCAGTAATCTGATCAAATTATAATCACGGCATGTGGATCATATATCTGTTCTCTACGGATTCACTATGATACAGAATCAATTAGTTTCATAATTTGTGACTGATATTGCCAGTGTTACTTAGGGGCAGAAACAGGGGGATGCTGTGCATCTGTTGTATAGTACTCGGGCTTCCACAGTCATCATGACACATCCTAGTCCCTCATAACACCATACGAGCAGCATGTACTTGTTGCAGCTGCTCAGGGCCGAGGTTCTACACGTGCTGCACATTTATTGGAGCATTTGGCAGATTACATGAAGCTGAGGTTTGTTTTAAAAATATATCTTTCTATTTACGTCCTGCAATAACGACTTAAGTACCCTCATCTGTTATAATAACAGTTTAAATATTTTATTGGATTTTTAAACTAATTAAACAAATTATTTTTTACGTATCAATTCTAGAAGTAATTAACATTGAAAATATGCTCCAAATAACATATAAATTCACACAACTTAGTGCCGCCATTTTGATGGTTATGATATAGTAAGAATACAAGATGATATAAGTGAGCTATCTTATATCTGTCATTATAGTTGTGCACATTTTTATCCAAGTATGATATGGTCCATTTTAGGCCCGTATTAACATTCATTCTTTTATCTGGAGTAAATTAGCGTGTAATAGTAGAAGATATCATAATGAAATTGTATACAAAGAAATCTTAAGTTCAAAATTTCTTAGTTTCTCTAGGACTAAAAGTGATTGAGGAAATAAAATGCACAGACCGTGAACATGGAGGAGGTTTCTAAGTAACCTTACGTTTGTCCAACGCGTATGTTTATCATTATACAGGGTTCAGCTAAAATGATAAAAATCAAAATGTTTTCGAATAGAATTGGCGTATTTAATATTAAAATGAAATGGCCAAATGTTAGATTTTCAGGCGGGTTATAAATGATGTAGTCCATTCAAGTTTCTTACAGTTTTTAGCTATAAATTAAATATATAGTTAAGACTTGTAATTGATTACACCATGGATAGCTTGCATGACCTCTATGCATTCCTTAACTAAGCAAGAAAGTTACAACATTGGTGTGTAGATTGTGAATCAACCCATAGATTCCCCATAAGCTAGCTACTCACGTGAGGGGGAGGATCGCAGGGCTTTTGAAATAGACTAATTGATCCAAATTAATAAGTTGAAATTATTCTATGCATATTTTAAGGCCTGATTAACACACTCGTGCTGAGTCTATTTTTCTTCCATATTAATCAATGTTGTGAAACCTCTAAAAGAATCATCAGTATATACGTAAATGTGGTCATATTATTATGTTTAAATGAGCAAGACATTAGCCAAAAGTAACGTAATATTCAGTTGTTACATTTAAATTTGTATATTCTGTACCCTTGGTGAGACAGCGATAAGTCTGGGGTTCGATTCCCCGAAGTGGACACAATGGATAGCCCAATATCGCTTTGCTAGAAACAACAATTAAACAATTCTGAATAGTCTTCCAAATGAAGTAGCCCGTTCCATAACGCTCAGGTTATCAAGTTTTCTTGTATTGTTATGAAACGGTTATATTGAATTACACAAACGTAATGGGCTTATTTAGTTTATTCTTTTATCATTTCCCGAGTTTTAGCCTTCTACTGCAATAAAGAAGGGGGTATTTCTTTATTCCTGTAAAGTCACAGTATGCTTCTAAGAAACAAAATTAAATACGTAGTTCAGAGCAACTAAATAGTAGTCGGAATTTATAACACATAGCTAAGATGAAGCTAAATAATTGTTATGTAATAATGTCAACCACCCACTTCATTTTTATATTTGGGGTCAGTTATATGGTCGAAAATGTTGCCTCAGTCGTCATTTTGAAGCGATTCACAAAGCTTCGTAGAAGATATTTAGATGTTTTACTAATATGGAGAGCCATCGCAAAATGGGTGCCAGCCAATCAAAGCAGGTCGTTGTGAATTAGCTCCAAGTGTCTCAAACTGTCGCTAACAGAATGTGGAACTGATACTAAACCAGTGGTACAGTTGTTCAGATACCTTCTAAAGACAGACCACCGTCCACGATACAAGCAAATCACTGCTTTTTGCCTATTGTGGATCGCTACAGGTACCGAGGTTGAATCATATGTTCCCAGCCGCAATGGGATGCCTTGTTAGTGTACAGACAGTTAGAAACATACTTCATAAGACCTGCCTCCATGTCAAACGACTAAACTAATTTACTTGAGAGTAATTTGGACACGTGGAGCAGTATTCCCTCTATAGAAGAATAGCAAATAGCGGATTACACTCATTTGGGGTGGGGGTGGATAAGGAACCATTTCTACCCCTTTTTTCATACATGAATGTGACAAATATGATGTATGGTGCTGATAGGAATAAGTATTACTGAATGTCAACTTCTCTATTTTGCCATATGTTAACACTATTGCCATACATTATAAGGATCACTTACGACATTTTGTGCTACTATCTGCTGGTCAAATTGGCCCGAATTCAGCCTAATGGAGAATACCCCCCCCCCCTTTCCCATCAAGTTAAACTAATTAACTCTTTCCTCGAAAAAGAACAAGAGATTAATCGTATGGAATGGTCTTCACACTCACCAGACCGGAGGCCTATTGAGTATATTTATAGGATGCTCATGGGAGACGCGTTACATTCCATCAAGTGATTTTGGAACACTAAAGATGCCCTGAAAACAGCTATTTGATAGGAGTGGTCGAGGATGACTCAGGACCTTATCAACACTCTGATTTTAGATATGCAACATTGGTGCCAGACTGCCCTTCCTGTTCGTGGTGAAACATTCTGTACTGAAGTGAAATTTCATGTACTGTTATGACGGAAGCCACCTCTCCGAAATTTTCATTTGCGAGTTTAGATTGAGTGAACAATAGTTTCATTTCAGGTCACGTGACTGACCGTCACATACTTAATTTGCATAATAATTAACTGAATTTGTGTGATTCACATCATTATATGACATTGGGTTTGCCTTGTTTTATATATATTATTCTCGTTGTCCTTTAATTTGAGTAGTGTATTTCAAAGGGGTGTTAACTTCAAATATTTTAACAGGTATGACTGGTTAAATTACTTACTTATTCATCATCCACAAACAAACACTAAAACAGAATCATAACTGTAAGGTTTTAAATTTCATGTTTTACGTTTTTATAGCGTCTATCATACAAGAAACGGTTTGTATTAATTTTTTATGGCAAGGTCTATGTTAAGTTAGAAAGTTAAATTAACGATATTTCTGATTTACAGTTGAAGTTTATTCATTGTCTTTTGATTAAAGGATGATTTTCAACACTGATAAGAAGAAATCCCAGAATTCTAACCTGAAATCTAATAAGTGGTGATTGGCCAATCTCAGTAAAAAAACAAACAAACAAATACGTATCACTAAGTTGAAATGGGAATAAGGAAGCAAATCGTATGTTCATATAACATTACTAAGTTAGAAGGAAGCCACAAACACGTAATACCTTACTTCATAGTTTCGCCTGACATCATGTGCAGCTCAACTAACGAGTACTGACATTGAACAAATAATTTTCTGGGACATAAGATAGGTTTTCCATACCTCAGATTTGAAATCCGTAAAGGTGGTTAGGGCGCTCGACTCGCAATATGCGGGTTTGAATATCCCTCCCACCAAACATGCTCGCCCTTTCAGCCGTTGGGGCATTATAATGTGATGGTCAATCCCACTATTCGTTGGTAAAAGAGTAGCCCAAGAGTTGGCGGTGGGTAGTGATGACTAGCTGCTTTCACTCTAGTTTTTCACTGCTAAATTAGGAAAGGCTAGTGCAGATAGCCCTTGTGTAGCTTTGCAAGAAATTCAGAAACAAACAAACAAACCATTGCTCCGCCAGTAACACTGTAGTATTGTTTTATACTAAAAATATAGTGACACCTATCCGACGTCAAAGGAAGTACTTGCGTCTTTTTTTTTTAACCTATAGACTTGTTTGGTTTTAGATTAAATAAAGATTTGTCTGATTTTTTATGGCATTTCAGTGTACATGTATTTATTTCAGCGTCAAATTGAAAAAGGTAACGATTTAATGGAAGAAGCTTCCATGTTTGGAGCAACGTTGTCATCTGCTGACGGGTTTGGTAAAGCTCAAAGTTTAACGTCATCATTAGGAGAACATATTCAGTACTTTGCAGAACGTCTTGAGGACACGCGAGAAAGACTGGAGGACAGTGCCAGATGTTACAGTCTTCTAGATAGGGTAATCAGTGTGTTTGTCTCTATATAATTTAATGCTACTCCTAAGTAAAATTTTGCACTTTTTACACAGAGCAGTAAACATATTGAGACACATGTCAACAATGAACGATTAGGTCTTTTGAGGCTGCCCTTGTACAATCATCCACTCTTAAGAGTGGCCTCCACTGTTGTTAGCAGCAGCTCATTCCATAAGCAAATCACCCTCTTATAAAGGGCCCGGCATGGCCAGGTGGTTAGGGTGCTTGACTCGTAATCTGAGGGTCACGGGTTTGAATCCCCATCACCACCAAACATGCTTGTCCTTTTAGCCGT